TGTGTGCGTTTACAAGATCACTGCCACTTGAGGAACAAAGAAGGTGCACACTAGGAGAACTCGCCTGCCACTCGCTCTAATTGACAGCCAGTGAGGCGTTTCTGCAATTATTTTTAAAAGTCACAATTTCAAATAGAAATCAGCACTTTTAGAAACTGCAATTAAAATGAGCATATACTCAGACATAAAGCACTTCAGCTTATATGTGTTTGGAGGGATCCTATAATAGATATATTAAAAGGCAGAAATATTTGTATAGTTCCAGCTCACAAAGTATCATTTTTAGCAGTAATCTTTAAATCTTTGTTCAAGTGAAAGCAGTTTTTCAGACTCAGTATAAAATACCAGCCCTGGATTCTAACTCTCCTTAATTTCATAATTAACGTCTTTGTCATAAAAATATCAAATGCATGCTGACGTTTACACCATGTGACCCAGCAAGCATTGTTACTTTAGCATGCCCTGACAATTAAAATGTACAATTTTAACGTATAGATTCCGAGTCACTTTGCCTCCTGTACAAAGTTCAGAAACTGAACATTTATTATTTTACATCAGTTTGAATAAAAATGATTTATTCTATGACTATACAGTTGTTTATGTATCCTCTTGCGCATTATTATTTATAAGTGACATTATAAAGTCCATCTCTCCTTATCTTGGCATTACATTAAAAAAGGGTACTGGGCTCCTTTGTCAATGCAGGTCCTACTACCGACTATTGAAATGAGATGCTGTGATGGGACCAATAAAAAAATAGAGATGCCTGGATGGAAGGGGTACTCAAACATTTGTTAGATTGAATAAAATATATAAATCCAAAGTTATACAGACAGAATACGATACAGTCACTTTCAAAGGATGCAAAAGGTTCTTGATAACACTATAAAGGGGCTGGAAACCTAAACATCTACACAGGCACTGCACATTCAGCAGGCCCCAAATCTGAGAGAATAATGAGCATTGTAGTCCAGCAATATCTCATGGGGACTGGAGTTTGACCCACCTGTCCTACCTGCCTTGTTTCAGTATTCATAAAAATAGCTGATGACCAATGATAGAGGGGTTACAATAGGTGTTCTCAAACCATGCAGTGGTTCAACCTTTATGTAGGTGGATTAGACCTTTCTTGCAGGGAACGACACTTGGCTGTGTCTTGCAATTATTTATTAAGACTTACAGAAAGCTTGTAAACTAAAATGAATGCATCAACATCGAACCTGCGCGCCCTGCCTCCTCGCTTCACATTTTTAAGTAGAAAAAACGATTTTGTAATGATTTTTTTTTTTTTTTTACTTCTTAGCTCATGGCTGCTGTGCGCCACTGCTCTCCTTCTCCACTAATGTTTGAGAGCCAGTAATTCCGAAACAGGAAATGCCTTTAGCTCTCCTGAGCTAAGCCCTGCTTAGCTTTTTGGCTAAGTGCGCACAGCTGACGAATTCAGGATTTCCACCTTTCTTGGGAGAAAAACACCAGCCGGAGTAATTTTGCACAACCAATTATATATGTATAACGTCACTGGATTTTACTAACATCAACGGAAGTGACATAAGAGGGAAAAAATTGGAAAGGAAAAATTCTTTAAATCACAAGAAATCGACAATGTATATACTGCGCCTGAGTACGTGTGTAGTATTTTGCCATTGTGTGTTTGCTGTGTAAAGCAGTATGTGTCATGTTTATACTCTCTGATAGAGTGTGTATAACAATGTGTGTATACTGCGTGAGTGTCTTTGTGTATAACAGTGTGTGCGCATGTGTCTGAATGTGTCTCAGTGTATATACAGGTGATTCTCGAAAAATTTGAATATCGTGCAAAAGTTAATTTATTTAAGTAATGCAATGCAACGTAAAAGGGGAAACTAATATATGAGATAGACACATTACATGCAAAGCAAGATAGTTCAAGCCGTGATTTGTCATAAGTGCGATGATTATGGCTTACAGCTCATGAAAACCCCAAATCCACAATCTCAGTAAATTAGAATATTACATGCAATCAATAAAACAAGGAGAACAATATCGGACCTCTGAAAAGTATAAGCATGCATATTGACTCAGTACTTGGTTTGGGCCCCTTTTGCAAAAATTACTGTATACTGTGTTTGTGTCATTGTGTGTATACTGTGTGAGTGTCTCTGTGTATAACAGTGTGGTGCACATGTGTCTGAATGTGTCTCAGTGTATATATACTGTGTTTAAGTGTCTCTGTGTATAACAGTGTGTGCATGTCTGAATGTGTGTATCAGTGTATACTGTGTATGTGTGTCTCTGTGTATAGAAGTGTGTGCATGTCTAAATGTGTGTATTAGTGTAAATATATGGTGTGTGTCATTGTGTGAGTGTCTCTGTGTATAACAGTGTGTGCATGTCTGTATGTGTGTATCAGTGTATACTGTGCATGTGTGTGTCATTGTGTGTCTCTGTGTATAGAAGTGTGTGCATGCCTAAATGTGCGTATCGGTGTAAAAATAGTGTGTGTGTGTGTGTGTGTGTGTGTCATTGTGTGTGTCTCTGTGTATAACAGTGTGTGCATGTCTGAATGTGTGTATCAGTGTATACTGTGTGTGTGTGTGCGTCTCATTGTGTGTGTCTCTGTGTATAACAGTGAGTGCATGTCTAAATGTGTGGATCAGTGTAAATTTACTGTGTATGTGTCATTGTGTGCGTCTCTGTGTATAACAGTGTGTGCATGTCTGAATGAATCTGTGTGTATATACTGTGTGTGTGTCATTGTGTGTGTCTCTGTGTATAACAGTGTGTGCATGTCTAAATGTGTGTATCAGTGTGTATATACTGTGTGTGGGTAATTGTGTGAGTGTCTCTGTGTATAACAGTGTGTGCATGTCTGAATGTGTGTATCTGTGTATACTATGTGTGTGTCTCTGTGTATAACAGTGTGTGCATGTCTGAATGTGTGTATCTGTGTATACTATGTGTGTGTCTCTGTGTATAACAGTGTGTGCATGTCTGAATGCATGTATCAGTGTGTATATACTGTGTGTGTATAGTGTGTCTGAGTGTGTTATTGTGTGTATAGTGTGTCTGTGTGTCATTGTGTGTATATAATGTGTGTTTGTGCCATTGTCTGTATATTGCAATGTGTGCACCTGTTGTGTATAATAGTGGCTCCATTTTTCTCTCCCCACTCGCCCTGAGTCCAGTCAGAGAATAATACCGGCCTTTGCATTGCCAGTATTTTTATTTTTACAATACCAGCGGTATCGGTAAAATACTGGCTACGAACTCAGTTTATGTAGGTATAGAAATCTGATAGATACAGAGAATTGATCGCTCGCCGGCCCTGCACAGCTGGGTTTAGCTTCTCGCAGGAGCTTGTGGCAGCAACGCAGGCACTATAACAACTTCAATAAAATGAAGTTAATAAAGTGCTTACAGTGTCCCTTTAACCTAATCCAGGGACTCCCATATAACAAACCCTGAGATTCACTACAGGAGCTCCATGTGGAACAGTAAATGGAATTGTGTTTCAGTAAGAGCTCCTCCTGTGTCTTATTATGAGCTTTAATGGGCTTGTTTAATGGGCGTTTATGGGTTTGTTACCATTATCCCACACTATTTATTTTTTTATTTTTGTGTCATACAATATATACCTTTTTTTTTTTTACTTCCCTTTTTACCATATCTAGATTCCCCCCCCATTTTTTTTATTGCCAACCACAATATGGCCGCGGTGGGCGGAGCTTGCAGCCCAGCCCTGCCAGCAGCCACGCCCCCAAGCCGTGACGCAGCGCTGAAGCAGCGGCTCCCTGCCCCAGATGGATGTCCTGTGCATGGAGCGGCCCTGACAGTCTGCAGAGGGTAAGCGTTAACCCCTGCGGTGCCGGCACTGACAGCAGGGTGGGTAACATGGCGGCACAGGGCTCTGACAAGGTCAGTCCAGGAAACATCCCAGCCGCCCTGATCTGCTGAACTTGTAAACTCCCTGAGCCTGGCCCTGCAGCAACAGAGCTCCTAATGGACCCCAAGCAGGGCACTGACCTACTAACCTACCTACCAACCTGCTAATCTACCTACCTACTAACCTACCAACCTGCTAATCTACCTACCTACTAACCTACCTACCTGCTAACCTACCTACCAACCTGCTAACCTACCTACCTACTAACCTACCTACCTACTAACCTACCTATCTACTAACCTACCTACCTACTAACCTACCTATCTACTAACCTACCTACCTACTAACCTACCTACCTGCTAACCTACCTACCAACCTACTAACCTACCTATCTACTAACCTACCTACCAACCTACCTATCTACCAACCTACCTACCAACCTACCTACTAACCTACCTACCTGCTAACCTACCTACTTATCTACTAACCTACCTACTAACCTGCCTACCTACTAACCTACCTGTGGTACCCACACTGCTGCTATGTACTGCACTGCAATCATTATATCCTGCTATATTATACTGCAATGTATGGGACTGGAAGGAACCCACCCCCATAGTGCTGCTAATGTATTACATGGGGTCCCTATAACATACTAATAATTCCTGGTGTAATCTATATATTGGGAAAAATGGGGGTGTTATTACCATAGCAATGTAACCACACAGTACCAGTATATAGACTGCTAGGAGTCCGTACTACCTGCTAATATTTCCACCATACTGCGCCACTATATAGACTGCTAGGAGTCCATACTACCTGCTAATATTACCTCCATACTGCGCCAATATATAGACTGGTAGGAGTCTGTGCTACCTGCTAATATTACCTCCATACTGCGCCAATACATAGACTGCTAGGAGTCCGTGTTACCTGCTAATACCACCATACTGCGCCAATATATAGACTGCTAGGAGTCTGTGCTACCTGCTAATAATACCGCCAAACTTCGCCAATATATAGACTGCTAGGAGTCCGTACTACCTGCTAATATTACCGCCATACTGTGCCAATATGTAGACTGCTAGGAGTCTGTGCTACCTGCTAATATTACCGCCATACTGCGCCAATAAATAGACTGCTAGGAGTCCGTACTACCTGCTAATAATACTGCCATAGTGCGCCAATATATAGACTGTTAGGAGTCTGTGCTACCTGCTAATAATACCGCCATACTGCACCAATATATAGACTGGTAGGAGTCCGTACTACCTGCTAATCATACCGCGCCAATATATAGACTGCTTGGACTCCGTGCTACCTGCTAATATTACCGCCATACTGCGCCAATAAATAGACTGCTAGGAGTCCGTACTACCTGCTAATAATACTGCCATACTGCACCAATATATAGACTGCTAGGAGTCTGTACTACCTGCTAATAATGCTGCCATACTGCACCAATATATAGATTGCTAGGAATCCATGGTACCTGCTAATAACCGCCATACTGCGCCAATATATAGACTTACAGAGAGTATCTACAGGGTCTCCAGCAATTGTCTAAGAAGTGGCAAGGGATGAACCTCTCCCTTTAGCAATAATGTGGAGAATTTACCGTCTGTTTAATTTGAGATACAAGATGACTCTTACAGAGCTGCAAGGATTTGAACTCAGTCTATGCAGAATAGGTTTTGCATTCTTGTTTCTAGAATAGATG